CCCCAAAACCCCAAAACCCCAAAACCCCAAAATCCCCAAAACCCCAAAACCCCAAAACCCCACACATTATGAAATGGTTGAGACCTTACGAATTCTGAATGAAATCTTATTTGGGCTTCTAACTATTTAATCGAAACTTTTTAATATCAATTATAAATTTTCAGCATTCGTATAGGTAAGTGATCTATATGTCAGCCCATGGGGAGATGCTGCATCTCTGCTCCAGTACGTTATGACATGGGCAGTAGTGCTATCCCATTTTGTATCTTCCTAACATGTTGTATTTAAAATAAACCTCCAGTTTCTTACTTTCCGGATGAAAATATCTTACCATTTTTATTAGAACCATGGGAAATAAAGCTATCGCTGAGCGTATTGCAACTGCAAAAGAGGTTGACTTGGTCTCCAAGTTCAACCTGGAGGAACTTATTGACGACACTTTGCTGGAGTCTCTTGCCGAGGTTTTCAGTAAACAGTCAGGAATCTTGATCAACCAAGGAGGAGACCAAGCTCCTCACAAAAAGGATTTCATACAGTTTAATGAACAAAAGAATGAAGATCTTGAAGAACTGATTAAGGAGAGAGTTATTTCTGAGATCAATGAGGATATCACGACAGGATTCTCCACTCCAGACTTCTTCCTTGAAGAGCTAAAAGATCCAAGTAAGTCATATCCCATTCTTAGTCGTATCTTAAATCTTGGATTATTGAAGAATTATTGGACAAAATTCTGAACGCAAAGAATTATTGATCTCTAAGCTAAAGCTTTACATCAGCCAAAATATTACATATTGACCTATAAAATGCTATATTGCTAAAATTCATTCTACTGATATAAAAATTATCGTAAAACTTTATTGCTTTAAAAACAGCCAGGCTAGATTTTTCTGAATCTTTTAGCCCTTGCTAAGAAATAAATCAATAAAGATGTTATTTCACTTCAGAAACCATTATTGGACTATCTCTAATCTTATTTAGGATTTGAAAAATACTTCCAAGTTAAGGAGAGAGGTGAAGGTGACGAGTACTTCAAGAAACAGTACAAGAAGTTCTACATCCTGTACATCTACTATAAGATCAAGGTCCAAGATTTGGAACTAACCAAGAAAGATTTCTACGAATCTTTTGAAAGCTTCTTTGAGAGTAAAGACACTAGTCTGAACTTTGCTAACTTTGATTTGTCTATGAGAAGCACTCTTACTATCATGAGAGATTTGGGTGCGGAAAACCCAAGGTTGTTGGAGGTAACTCTTAAGAGTCTCTATCAATCATTTTTGAGTACAACTGATGAGATTAGGAGAGAAGTCGGAAATCTTGATTTCTATGCTGAGGAAGAATTACTTGATGAACTAAGAGATTTCTTGACTGAGCACCTTCAGAATAACTCATCAGAAGCAATCCAAGAGCTATGCCTTAAGTTAATTGTGCTTATCGGTAACCAGAGAGGCTCTGGAGAAGACTACCTCATTACCTATAATTTGATTACTAAACACGGGTTTGAGTTCAACTTGGATCCTGAAATTAGCCAAAGTAAATTTGTTGAGAGTAAAGGACAAGGAGCCAAAGGAGATGAAGATCTGCTCAAGGTATCCTATGAAGGAAGCAGCCTCGGACATATCCTGAAGGGTGATCATACTCAAGAGGTAGCACTATTCCAAAATAACCTCAGCAATCAAGACGACAAAGACAAAAACAAGAAGGCTTTCCATGATATAGATTTCTTAAAGCCTCTTACCCTCACAGTTGACGACCACTTTGTGTATGTCTACCAAGAAGAAGAAGGGTTATTCAAATATGGATTCTCTGACTCTGTGGATACAAAGATTGGGTATCTTTACAAGAAGAACCCCAAAATGGACGGCAAGTCTAAGTACTTCATGCACTTGAATGGCAATCTTTACTGCAGAACAAAGAATTCTGACGGAAAACCATTCATCCTGATTAATAAGGAAACTCTTAAGGAGATCAAGAATGATGATGAGTTTAACGCCAAGATCGAAGCCCTCCACAAGCAGGAAGATACTAAGAAGAGTGAAGAGGAAGACGAAGATGATGATGAGAAGAAAGAAGAAGAGAAACCTCAGATACTTGAATGGACCAGAGATGATAAAGCTGATGAAGAGAAGAAAGCTGGAAGATACCTCTGTGAGTCCCCACTCTTTACAGATGGGCAGAACATCTATGTAATCTCTACATTGAGAGAGATGAAAGTGGTAAATAAAGAGGAAGAAGATCTTGAGGAAGATAAGAAAGATCTTGTGATAAAGAAGTGGCTCCTTGAGGTTTATGATGCAGAAACTTGGGAGTTCAAAGACTCTATTGAGCTCAAACTTGACATTAAAGTCAGAGGTCTCGATGATGTTGTCTCTGAAGCTGAAGAGAAGGAGACTGATAACATCAAGCAAGTCAGAGATAGCTTCAGTATGGAGAACATTACTAAATGCTCATTCGTGACCAATGGAAAGAAATTACTTGTTGGAGAAAGAAGAAGATGGCATATCTATGATCTCGAAGAATTAAAATGGACATTCAACCTTAATCTTACACTTGATCATTGGGGATTCGATTATGTTACAAATACATTCTGGGAAGTTACGATGGGTCAATCGTTGAGAAACTTTAAAATCCCAGATTTCAAGATTAACGAACATTCTGATGAGTCTAACTTCAAAGGGATCATTGAGTATATTAACTCAAAGGTCGATGAGATCCAAGAAATTCAGACATTACAAGACAAATTTGGTAAATCAACTTCAAAGAGCATCGCTCAAAGATTGAAGATGAAATCTAAGCCACAAGATAAGAATGCCAACTTCAGTGCCAAGACTAAGCCTGACTACACTAGATTCCTTCTTATGAATGTTCTCAAAGAAGGATCTAAAGAACTGATCAATATTGCTGAGCAAATTAATCCTCAGGCAGCTGTTGGAGTAGACAAATTCTCTATCTATAGAGGAAGTTACTCTACTATAGTCTCTAGTACTTTCTTCAGTGAGTTACTTCAAGCAATTGAGAATACCTTGCCTATTTTCATTAAGAAAGAGAAAGAGTCTTCAAACTTGTTAGAGCAATACAACCTGTACATGCTATTCATTCTTCTCAAGACATCAATGATGTGCTTGAGTAAGCTAAACCTGTCTCTTTCAACTGTTGTTGCTCAGAAGTCTGACTATGATAGGTTCCTTAAGATAATTCAAGAGAATATCAGTGAGATTGTCTCTAAAGAGAAGCTAGAGTTCACTTATGAAGAAGGAAAATACAATGCTGAGCTTGAAACCCTCTGGGGTGCCATTCAGAATGAATGCAGAGCCATTATGGCATTCAGTCTTAGCTTGGTCTATGAATCTCTTGGTGACTTAATGAGAAAAGTTTCAACTTCTCTTGATAAGCTCGAAGCTGGAGAGGTTGACAACTCTCTAGGAATCTACATCAGATACTTGACTCTTCCAGAGACTATGAACAAAGCTCTGAATGATGTAGAAATCAAGGACATGATCTTGGTCGTCTATGAAAAACTTTGTGATAAGAAATCTAGAAAACTGATCTCTGCTATTGAGTCTGTTAAATACAGCTCACATGAATTGAAGAGACTGACATACAATTCTTTGGAGAAGAACAGTGAAGGGTTCATTTATTCAGTGACTCAGAATATCATCAGTAAGTTCGACTGCTAGATTAGATATGATTTTCAACCAAAATATTTTGGGCGAATCTGACCAATTTCTATTTAGACAAATACTTCCAAGCCAACAAAGAGTTGGAGGCTGAAGAAGAAAAAGAGAAGGCAGATAAAGATAAGGTAGAGAAACTCGGCAGAAAAGTTGAGTTAAAGGCTATCGACTTGATCAAGGTTTTGGAGATCATCAGTGAGTCGACTCTCCAGATTATCGAGGTCTGCACTAAAGCTAGTCAGGTTTACTTGTTTGAAGCTTTAAAGCAACAAAGAAAAGATGAGGAAATTAAGAATGAAGCAGATAGACCTAAGAAATCTGGACATGAAAAATATGCTGAGTTCCATAGATATCTCTACAATATTGCAAAGGAGAACAATAATTTCACTAATCTTATGCATGTGTATGTTGCTGCTTTCTCTTCTTTAAGAGATTCAGCCCATGTGAAGACACTTTCTCTATTGTCAGTAAAGATCTTAAGAGTCATTGAGACTTTCAGTAAATTCAAAGATGTAAAGAGTGACGACTTAGAACTGAAAGAAAGTGAAGACTTGCTAAGAAATTATCTTGATAAGGATGTCATCAAGTTCTTTGTCTGGACTATCTCTAAGATGTCTTACTCCTTCATCAATGTTCCAAAGGAAATGGATCTGAGCGAAGAAGAGAAGATGAACAAAGCTATTCTTGACTCTAAACTTCTCTCTGGTGGAATGGAGAATAGATTCCTTGGTACCCTCACAAAAGATACTTCCAGTCAGCTAAGAGACATGTGTGAGGTAACTGGAGATAAAGTTATCAAGGGATTCCTTACTAAAGAACCTGAGAAGATTGATGATGATGAACTCTACCTCCAAATCATCCACCAAGGAAGAGATGAAAATGTTGATAGAATCATTGACATCCTTCAGATAAACCTTGAAAGAAAGCACATCTGGGCTAAGGCTGCTAAAGAAGAAGGAATGAGACTCTCAAGAGCTGCATTTGCTTGTATGATTAAGATCAGTGGTCTCTCCACTGACTTCTTCATGCTCATGGACGAACTTGAGATGAAGCTAGATACTGTTCAAGTTATTGACGAGAACGCTACCAAAAAGGAACTTGCTAGAGAGATCACCGAAATCGAGTCTTACACAAATATCTTCAAGAGGTTCGAAAGCGCAGCCAAGATGAGAGCCTGGTTCCAGGAAAAGAAAAAGAGCTGGGCTGAAAAGATCAGAAAAGAGGAAGAAGAGAAAAAGCGTAAGGAAGAAGAAGAGAAGAGGAAGAAAGAAAAGGAAGATAAAGATAAGAAAAGAAAGGAAGAGACTAAGGAAGAAAATAAGGAAGAGGAAGAAGAAGTTATTGATACTACAACTGCTGATGCTAACAAGAAGAAAAAGGATCAGATTGAGCTAGCTAAGATTGTGGATAAGGTCGTTGAGAAGGCTGAGTTTATGCTCAAGTTGGTCATTCCTACTGAGTGGGGAAATTCTGCCGGTGATACTAATTTGATCCAAAGTATGTCAGAAAGAGAAGAAAGAGATAAAGAGGAAGAAGAGATTGAAGAGAAAGGTGACTGGCTCACTAAGCTTAACACTTGGAAGAATAGACAAGCTGAGAATCTTGGACAAGAGAACCATTCCGAAATTTACTCTTCAAGTATTGCGAGTATCTTAGCTTGCCTCCAAGCACCAATTACTGCTCAAAGGATTAAGAAGCAAATTGAGAATATTTATGTCAATGCCATGAAGAGAATCTGTGGTTTCAGACTCATTGCTAGACTTTCATATGTAAATCATCCAATTGATACTTGTATTGAATACCTCAACTGGTTCTGTAGTAGTCTCAGACATAACACTAATGTTCTGGCTCATTACACTGACGGAGTAAGCGGATGTGGTGAACATCTTCAAAATGAGCTGAAGAAATCATTCTTCTTAGTATTCAACGGAATAGTCAAACAACTGAGGAAAACTAAGAATAAAGAAGATATTAAGTTTTTACTGAACTGTTGCAAATGGCAATTCACTGCTAGTGATCATGACAGTATTATAAGAAGTGAAATTTTTGAAGTCCTACGTGAAGGAAATGGAGAGAATGATGAGAAAGCAAACCCAATTAAGTACTGTTGGGGTCATAAATTCAGATATAAGGAAGCTTCTAACTACCCTCTATGTCAGGATGTTCTTGACTTGTTCGAGCAAGTCCTTGTTGCCTGCTTCGCAAGAATCATCAAGGGTGATAGTGGAGAGGAGCAGAAGTTAAAGAAAGCAGGTACCTCGGTGCCAAAAATCGAGAGAGCTCATTCCAAGTTGAACACAAGTACGACCGAGTCCTTGATTGCGAATGGTTTCAAGCATGTCTTTGAGCAACTTCAGAAATATATCGAGTTTACCCAAGAATTTGAAGGAATTGACTGGGAGTTCTATGTCTCTAAGAGAAATAACCAAAGACTTAAAGGAGAGAAAATGGAAGAATCTGAAAGCGAAGAAGAAGATGATGTTGCTTTGGAACCAGGAGATCCAGGATTCATTGGACCTGCTATGGCACCATCTATGATGGGTGGAGGATCCTCACTCTTTGGAGGAGGTGCTAGCCTTGCAACAGGTTTATTCTCAGCAGGAAGATCTAGACCTTTGATACCTAGTGATGGAGGATTGTTTGGAGCATCAACAGGTGGAGGTTTATTTGGATCTCCTGCCCCAGCACCAGTCGAAGAGACTAAAACATTTGTTGCACCAAGCACTAGGAGAGATTATGACGAAGGAGAAGGTGAAGGAGATCATGATGAAGATGAACAACTAGAAGAAGAGGAAGAAGATATTAAAGATAAAGTTCAGCAAAAGGTAGAAGATAAAGAAAATAGAGAAGTTAAGAAAATTAAAGAGCTTTATGAAGACAAATACATAATTAGATTCCTTAAGCTTATTGAAATCTTCTCTTCAATTGCAACCAACCAGAAGAGGATCTTAGGAATGGTTCTAAAGGTTGCTACTCCAGAAGAGCTGACTATTCTTCTAAATCTCTTGGTTCATTCAGCGCCAAGACATGGATTTACTATTGTTAAGATCCTTGATAATCTGATCAGAGTAGGAATTCCACATGAGCTATTTGATGAATCAATCAAGAGGTTATCAAAAGAAAAAGATTCTGTTCACTCTAGAATTATCAATCAAATTACTCCTATCAATAAGTTTGATAAGGCCCCATTCCTGAAATTTTTGTACAACTATGTGATCTCCATTAGGTCATCTATGTGGACTGACTCCTCATTCGATAGTAATGGATCATTCATTCTATCAAATAAGATGTTGAGCATTTTCAGAACTATCTTGAACAACGATATTTACAAATTTTATAAGAAAGAAATCCTTACAGCTGTCGACCATCTCATCGGACACCCTGATGAATATGATCTCGAAGAGCTTGAGCCTCTTCTCAGTGTCCTCAATGGTGGAGAATACCTCGGACTCGGTCTTGGTACTAGCGGAGTATCTTCAGATGGATCAATGTTCACTGTACTCGGATTTGTCAAGAAATGGTATGGAATTAAAAACCCTGGAGAAGAAAACAATAACAATAATAACTACAACCAGAACAATAGTGATGATCTAGATCAGAAACATAAGCTCAACTATTACTTGCAGGATAAGCAGGATTATGTACTTGCATTGTACTATGACCCAAAGCACCCAGAAAGAACTGATATTTTCACTGCTATTCCTGAAGAAGTTAAGTTGGCACCCAATATTATCAAAGAAAGCAATGATATCTTGCTTGACAAGAAGAGACTAAATGATTTCTTGAAGAACTTCAAGCTTGACCAAGAACTTGAAAAGAGAGATTACAAGATGACTACTATTAGGACTCTTGCATTAAAGATCCTTGAGCAATACATCTCAGATCATGGAGAAGAGATTATCAAACTAATCAACGAAGAATTCTATAAATCATTCCTGAAGATTCTCTATTCTGAGGCTTGCTCTCCAAGCACTGACAAATCTGCCCAACAGAATGACTGGATTGAACAGAAAGTACATGCTCTGCAAGAATATGCTGTTGAGAACAAGGGAAGCCTTAGGACGAACTCTGATACAAAGGTCAGATTCACCAACAAGAATTTGGTTCTTACAAAAACACTCAAGAGTGCTGGAAATCAGAAATATTCCAAGTGTATTGATCTAATTTCAGCAATGAACTACGGAAGAGTTATTCTTGGTGAGAACTATTTAGTCCATCAAGCAGCTAAGCTACCAAAGGAAAACAAGCATTTGAATAAGATCCAGGTTGAAGACCTGAGACTTATTGACTCAAGTGAGCTCACTTCAGCTGAACAGCTCTACAGGCACTTGAAGACTACCAAGATCATTCTCTCTTGTGACGTCAATATCGAAGAAATGCATGAAGAACTCTTACAGAAGGACTCTGATTTGGCTTACTTTAGAAGTGTTGTCCTGATTGGAAAGGCTGATTATGATAACCTCAAAGAATTCCTTGAGCATGATCCACAGATCAATGTAGTTAACACTAGTGGCCTCAGCGCTGAAGAGAAGTTTATCAGAGAAATGACTGAATATGGAGGATTTGAAGAGAAAACACTCAGAGAAATCTTGAAAGATAATCCAGATGCTACTCTGTCTCAAAGAACTAACCTTGTTGCTGACTGGTATAAAGAACAACAAGAGAAAAATGATTCTAAGGAAGAAGAGAAGAAAGATGAATTTGCTGATTATAGCGAACTCGGACTTAAATCAGAGATTCAGGAAGATGTCCTCTCTGAAGATGAATGGGAGATCATTGATCCCTCAGCTAATCCACGAAAGAGTAAAGTCAGGAAAGAGAAATTCGATGAAGATCTCCAAAAACCAGAATATGATGAGGAGACTATCTTTGGATTAGAGAAGAATGATAAATATACAGGAATCTTCACTCAGGTCGCTACATATGGAAATATAAGCTATCAAGACAATCAAAATAAACCAAAGAAACCAAGAGGAATTCTGTCTGAGAAGGTTTATGCTATCAAACCAAACAACTTGGAAGGAGATTACTTAAACGCTGTTGGAAACTTCTTCACTTCAATGTGCAGAAAGACCATTATGTCTCTCTTCAAGATTTCCAATGTTGACAACCTACTCAATCGTTTGTTCTATTCATCCAAGGATACTCAGAACTTTGTTAAATACGTCAAGATTATCGGAAACGAGCTTGTTATCAGTAAACTCAATCTTATTGATGAAAAATCTTACGATGAGTTCAAGACTATTCTCAACAATATCTTGACTTCATGCTACAAGAACAAGGAATTCACTCAATTCCTCCATAATCTCTTGGAGAAGATTTTGGTGAAAGAAGCTATTAAAGGACTCAAGACTGCTTTAGAAGGTGGAGCTAAAGAGATCAAGACTTACTTCGACAGTGAGACCACTGCTGTTAAGGCAATCAACTTCTACATTCTCACTGATATTATTGGACTTTACATTAAGGAATGCCCAGAGTTTATCTTTGAGAAAGAACATTTGTTCAAGAAATTAATCACTGCTCTCTTCTTGATCGCCACAATTTTCAGATCTGATCAAATCTTGCAGAAGAAGGTCTACTTGACTATTCTTAAGATCGTTGTTATGGTTGAGCAGAATGTTGATGATTACAGTGCTAAGATTAAGCAAGACTTGCTCTCTTTGAAGATCTTTAAGGATTTGATAGAGTGCATCAACTACACTAAGGATTCATCTAACTCATATAACTTCAAGCTTACTGATGAGCATAAGCTGCTGTTTGAAATCTTCCTGAAGTTCTCTTCGTTGCATAAATTATGCAGCAAGGATGGAATTGAACCAATCTATACCTACAATCAGCCATTATTGACCATTGAGAGATGCAGAAACATTCTTAAGGAGAGGAAGAAGTTCGATATGATTTCATACTTGATGTACCTGAACCATCTAGATGATGCTTCCAAGCAATCTACTATTATGCATGAAACAATTCATAACCACTTTGCCCCAAAGGTTAGTGCTAATATCAAGCATGAAGGATTCAAGAAGATGGCCTTAAAGGTGCAGACTGGAAGTGAACTAGAACCATTCAGCTCAGTTGCTGTCACTAGTGATAAAGAAGGAAACAATATTTTAAAGAACATCTTCCAGAAGGATATCACTGATAATAAGACTGAAGTGACTATTTTCAACAACTCTTGTTACCTCCATTACCCATACAGATCACCAAAGATTATTGCTTTCGGAGATAAGGATCAGAACAAGCTTGGAACTGATTCAGGAACTGACAGTACTAAAGAGCCTGAAGTTGTTCCTGAAATGTTCAATGAGATTAGAAGCATCTCTACTAATAGTACCTTCATCTCAGCTATTGATGAGAGTGGAGATTATTACCAAGCAGGATATCATATGTACTTCAACACTATCAATCAGAATAAGTTTACGAAGTCGCCTATTCCAGGCTTCAAGCCTCAAGAAGACAAGCTTGTCAAAGTTCAAACTGGTCCAGAAAATATTGTTCTTCTCACAGAGAAAGGAAAGATCTATATTGAAGGAAAGAATGAAGGATACCAGATCGACGATACTGGAGATAAGTACGCATTTGTAGAGAAGAAAACTCCAGATGAGAAAGAAGACCCAGTAATTGATATGGCTGCAGGAAAGCAACATCATTTCATTATCACTAAGTCAGGCAAACTCTATGGTGCTGGTAACTACTTCTTGAAGGAAATCGGACTTGAGTGTGGAAAGAAGTATGCAAAGATTGAACTAGCTGGAGGAGCTAAAGCCCTTAAGGTCTTCACAACTTCAGGTGATAAACCAAATGTAGCATATGTGCTAGTTGATAACAAGGGAAGGCAGGAGCTTTGGTCAGCAGGAGAAAGTAATAAAGGACTTCTAGGAAAAGGAGAGGACACTAAGAAGAGCAACACATTCTCTATTATGGATTATGAACCAGATTTTATCAAGTTCACACAAGTATTTTCAAAGTATGATCACACACTTGCAATCACTGAAGAAGGTCAGTTATATGCCTGGGGATGTAATGTCCAGCATAGATTAGGACTAGAGAGCGAAGGAGATAAATACATTCCAACTCATATTGCATTCTTCAAGGACTATATTGTGCATACAGCTGCTGTTGGTCTTTCCCACTCACTTGTAATTGCTTCACCAAAGGATAATAAGAAAAAGAAGATGGTCTTCACTATCGGAAGAGAGGAAGGAGTTTTCTCTCACTTTGGTATCACTAAGGAAGAATCTGAAGAGACTGAAGAATTCATCACTCACCTCAAGAACTTTGATCACCTAGATCCATACATTGTAGAAGCCGGAAATAAGACCTCATTTGTTATTGTTAAAGGAGATAAACTTCCTTCAACAAATATCGGAGTTCACAAAGGAGTCAAATGTGAAGTTACCAAGAAATCTCCAGTTACAGGAACCCTCCATTTCTATGAAGATGAAGCTGGAAATATGCATTACTACTCTCAGAAGGGATATGAACAGGTTAAAGACAAGCTTCCAGCTATCACCTTTGCTACTAAATACCCAATCAAGGATCTTGAAGAAATGAAACTACCAAATGTCGATGAAGAAGAATTCTGTGAAAATAAGGACACAGCTCTTGACTTTAGATATCCTTCCTTCAGAACTAACTTAAAGGTCGGAGATAAGCCAATTTCCAAGGTTGAACTCACTGAGAAGGAATTTAACAATAGAAATCAATATGACTTAGACCCCCTGATTTTCTACAGAGTGAATAAGCCATTGAAGGAAGGGCAAGATCTCCCAGTTATTGATCTTCTTGACTTCTTCGAGCAGACTGATAAGAAGGGACTCAACATCGAATTATCTCCAGACTTTAGCTATGAGAAGAACGAGTCGATCATTGAAAAATCCAAGGACTCCTACAAAGATATCTATGACCAGGTTGTCAGATTCCCCAAACAATGCGATAGAGAGCTTCTCGAGACTCTCGAAAAATACATTGCAGCAAAAGATTTGAACTTTGATGATCAGAATAGCAAGATAGAGATCTTCCCAAGCGATCTGAAGTTCAAGACTAAGAAGATGAAGAACTTGCCTGAGAAGACTAAGCAGCAAAGAATTAATGCTCTGATTGAGTTCAACAAACAATTCTTGGGAACTATTCCTTATGTCTTGCTTGACGAAGAGACTCTCACTGATATTGCTACTGGAACACAGAAGTTGACCGATAAATTAAGTGAGATGTTCATTCTTGGTAAAGGCCTTGCCTTCTTTAGTATCAAGAACAAGTATATCAAGAATATTGTCCAGAACTTACAGATTGACTATGACTGCCCAGAAGCCAGAATCAAGAGAAGAAGAGCCCAAGCTTTCAGAGACTCTGGAAAGGTCGACCACAAGGGAGAGTACACTATCTTCGGTCAGATCTGGAGAAAGATGAAGGAGAAGAACTTCAATTCTATGAAAAAGAACGAACCTGAAGCTAAAGCATGGAGTGCTACATTCCTTGGAGAAGGAAGTATCGATGTAGGAGGTCCATACAGAGAAAGTATCACTAACATGTGTCAAGAGTTGATGAGTGATGTGCTTCCATTACTGATGAGAACTCCGAACAACAAGAACGATCATGGTCTAGGAAGAGACTGCTATATGATTAATCCAAATGCTACTTCTCCAACATATCTGGAAATGTATGAGTTCTTGGGAGCAATGATGGGAATGGCTTTCAGAGCTGGTCAGATTCTTGATTTGAAGCTTTCTCCATCATTCTACAAGAGTCTTGCTGGAGAACCACTCAGTTTAAATGATCTTAAGGCATTCGATTTGTATGCAGTCCAAGCTATTAATGAGTTGAAAAAGACAAAGAGAACTGTAAACAAAGAGATGTTCAACGAATATGCTGCTCAAACTTGGTCGATTACTCTTTCAAATGGAGAAGAAATAGAACTGGTTAAAGACGGAAAACTAAGAATAGTGCAATACGATGAGATTGACGACTATATTTCAAAGAGTTTAGAGGCCAGATTTAAGGAAGGAGAGAAGCAAATGCAAGCTATCAGAAAAGGATTCGAAGTTATCTTCCCAACAACAATTATGGGAATCTTGACATGGAAGGAAGTTGAATACAGAATCATTGGACCTACTGAGATTGACATTGACCATCTTAAGAAGATGTCTCGTTATGCTGGATGTCACGAAAAAGATGAATTTGTCCAACGCTTCTGGAGAACATTTGATTCCTTCACTCAGGAAGAAAGATCAATGTACCTTAAATTCGTTTGGGGTAGATCCAGACTTCCTCCTCCAGATACAAAGGGAGTTCAGAACCATACTATCTCCTTGATGAATGAAAGAAACTACAGAGGAGATCACGACAAGATGTTGCCAAAGGCAAACACTTGTTTCTTCCAGTTAGAACTTCCAAGATACAGCAAGGACTCCATCTGCAGAGATAAGATGCTATATGCAATCGAAGCATGTGGAGAGATTGATACAGACGCCAGCAGTGGTGCAGTACTCAATGAGGATGATAGAGTCTAATCGTCTTCCCTTTTACCTAATTCTTGCCTTTAAGAGTTATTACTACTATTTATTATCTCTAGTTCTATATATTTAGGATTATTTGGGGTTTTGGGGTTTTGGGGTTTTGGGGTTTTGGGG